GGCAGTTACGCTAGTCAGTCTCACAGAAGTCAACCCCATTTCATGAAGATAACAAAGAAGCAACAGCAGCAGCAACGTATCGCTTACTTACTTTGTTTACTGGATTCATACCCCAACTTTTCTCCATTTATTTCCCACAACAGCAACAACACAAGATAGTTTGAGCTGAGAGAAAACAATTGGCCCAAAAGTTCTCAATGGTTGAGATTAGACTAGAACTGTCTCTTTAGTAGCACTCCACATCTTAACCATGATGCCACGTTGATACACCCACCCTCATTCTCAGAAGAGGTTTAAGTAGCTGTGCTCAGATGGTCTAATTTCTGAAAGCCTTGCCAGGTATTGGATGAGGAAAGCAACTAGGAAAAATGCTTGTTACTGTCAGTTGTACAAAACTTAAAAGGATAATATATGTTTCAAATTTGACACTGATCAATTAGCTTGATTAATGTTAGTTTGACTCCTTGTACAAGTAAGTTTTGATATGGATGAGTACCTTGGCTCTGTATGACTGGAACCCAGAACAAATAGAGTATTATAAAATAACTTTTTACTCATTTAGCTGCAAGACAGCTGAGAAATTGCTTTTACAGAAGTGCTAAAATGGGTGGATCTACTACAACAGCCTTGCTTAGTAAACATTGGCACTGGGGCAGAGTTGTACCACCTTCTTTGTCCAAACAAATCAAACACAGAGGCTGCTGTCTGATGGTAGAAGGAAATTTATGCAACACTGTTGTTTTTCAAATATGGCTCTTGGGGCCATTCAGTTCAATGATCACACCCAACACATGAGTCTCTGAAGCAAAGAAAGTCTGAGTTGTCATGATAAGATCATGTCCAAAAGAAGCCTAAGAATGCTACTTCTGCAGCCTTCAGAAGAGAAGTGGCAAATGGAAGTTGCCTTATGTTTAGATAATACATGTGGGGAAGAAAGACAAAGTTAGTGCCAAAGAACTTTCTTTAGGATATTATGAAGATGCTGTATAGGTGTAAAACCCACAAATATAAATTCCAGTGACCAGACTGGAGAATTATACCAGCTTCCATGTCTCTTGTGCAATGTTCATCTAATAGTCCAGGTAACAAATGGGTTATATTAAATGAATATAATTGACCGCATGCAAATGTATTAAATCCATACATACAGAACAGTGGTGGGATTCAATTGTTTTTACTATTGGTTCTGTGAGCGTGGCTAAGCAGGCATGGCCATGTGATTGGGTGGGTGCGCATTTTTTTTGCAGCACCCCCCCACACCCACATCCTGGTTTTTGGGCCTTCCTGGCCTCAGGGGAGCCTCCAAGGAGGGCGTTTTTGCTCCCAGGAGGCTCCCCCGGGGCTCAGGAAGAAAAAAAAAAGGACCATAGGAGGGGCACGCAGCACCCCTCCACACTCCATTTTGGGGCCTTCCTGGCTTTGGAGAAGCCTTTTGGGGGGCGTTTTTGCTCCCAGGAACCTTCCCTGGGGCCTAAGGCAAAAAATGGGAGGGGGGGTTGCGTCCCCTCCCTCCATTCTTTGCCTTTGTGGGCCTCAGGGAGCCTCCTGGGTGAAGTAGTAAGAAGCGAGGGGAATCCCGGCACAGCTGTTCGTAGAAACAGCTGATTGTTGGGAAGTTAAAAAAAAAAACCTTAAGGAGTGACTGGGCGGGCGAGCATCGGGTGGACGGGGTGAGTGAGCATCGGGCATTGGGGCAAGTGAGTGGCAAGCAGGCTGGAGGTGTGGCCAGCTAGCAGTTACTACTGGTTTGGCGACCCACGCCAAATCCTTGCTACCGGTTTGCCTGAACCTGTGTGAACCGGCTGAATACCACCAGTGATATAGAATAAAGGAGAAGACTGGGTGTCAGTTTTGGAAGTCATTTTGAGAGTCGATGCTGCCACAAGCCTGAGAAAGTGGGAGAAGGGGGGTTTCCATTGAGTAGCTCTAAGTAGACAAAATAAAATTCTTTGGTTAATCAAGGTCATTGAGTATGGCGCAGAATGAAATAATAATCTGACTTTAGGACGGATCGTGATTGGGCCATGTGATGTGATGACGGCCAAGGGGGGGTTAGATTTGTAGTTTGAATATTGAAGGAAGCCTGAAAACTTTCAGATTCGGGATTCCATAGATGTGCCAGTTTACTATCCAAATAAAGGTGCCTTTGAGATATGCTTGTCTCGGAGTTATTGATTGGAATGGAGGTTTGCTGGAACGCTGCCACTGGGATCAGAGGCATTGCTCTGGAAGAGATGGAATGATGGAAAGTCTCTTCACTGGGGCTAAAGTTTTGCCTACCTCGCACTGCAAGACTACGTAGAGCAAACATAGATAACAAAGTTCAGGAACACTGATAAAAATAAGAGTGAGGATGTTTCTTTTGAGTTATGCAGATTTTGCTTTGAGCACAGATAGCCTGGCTGAATGTCCACTTGAAATACTTGACACATAATATACTGTGGGTGTACTAGCACCTGCTATCTTTTTCTTCTAATCACTCTTTCCCTGTGCTCTCAATCATTCTGGCTTGCATTTGTTAAGGTCCAAATATCTAATTGCTTTCCATCTTTGATGTCTACTAATTCAACTCACAGGGCTTTTTCCACCTGTTCAGCTGAACAATGATGTGAGGCAAATTAAACCCATCTGGCTAAATTGAAGGGAGTTCTCTATCCATAAAATAGGCTACATTAACACCAAAGAAATTGCTAGGGCATGCCTTACATGCCTGGGAGGCAAATAACATCATCAGTAAGAGGTATTATCTGAAGTGGCCATTGCATGGCAGGTTAAGAAGATAAGACAGAACTGCTGCATCTTCCATTTGGATACAGAAAGAGGTCTTTCATCTCTGAATTAGATCAATTTATCCCACACTAGAATTCTTCAAAAGTTTTGATTACAACCCTCAAAACTGACCACCAGTCTACCAGTTCTGCCTGGCATATTTGGGGTCACCCAAGTTGGGGCTTGCTGCACTAAAATCAATAAAACTTTGAGCTTAAGCTTTGGGGTAGGGGAGTTGCCTAATGTGAGGTTTACAGTGATTTTGTAATAGTGACGGAGTCTCCCTGCATGCTACAACTAGTTATTTAGACAACATAACAGCCTTCCAGTGAGTAGGCTTTTAATTACATTCTTTTAATAGAAAGAGTCAGCCTTTTGTTTATTTGTTGAACTCAACAAATGAGGGCTTTGGTATAAATTATGGCTTTACCAAGAGAATATGGGACTTTCTCCACCTCTGAAGAAAGTAAATTAATTGTTTTTATGGAGGAAAAAGCCCTTTAAGTATTTCAGGGCTATTTTAAAAAGAGATTATTAATTTAATATGCAAATATACAAAGTTCTTGTTTTAATAATAGGTTCTGGCTTAGTCCTTCATATTCCTTTTATTTTTTTTATTACTAGAAATCTGAACCATATGGTGCTATAGATTTCATGTGCAGATTAGTTTTGCATCTTCCTAAAAAAAATAGGCACGATTTCCCAGCTGTGTGGGAGATGACAAAGAGTGCTATTTGCCCTGGAAGTAAAAAAAAAAAAAAAAATGGCTAAGGCCAGGCAGGTTTGCTCAGATCTTGCATCTTATATAGCGTCCATTTCTAAAAGTAAATTTGTATAAGCAAAACAACAAGAAATGAGGCTATGATTCAAGCAACAGTTAAAGGCCTGTCACACGGATGGTGTTTTACAACAATGCTGCGCTCTCTTTCAGAGCAACAAAATAAATAAGATGCTCAATTCAGGAGAGTTAAGTTAGACCGTCCGCTTTATCTGAGAAAGCAATTGAAAACACGCATAAAGGGCCCACACATAAATCTTGTTCTACTATTGTTCTGATTAGTAATGCTCCTTTGCTCTACTGTCTTACAATTACCATTGAACTAAATTGTACCATTGAGTTTGAGTTTAACTTAGTATGGATTAGAAATTAAGCTTCAAAATTTATTATTTTTTCTGCCAAAGTCCATTAGAGAATGGAGTTATCCCAAAAATCCTTTTTCTACATCAGAGGTTGAACATTCTGAAGTGGTCATTCTGGAGGCCAGAATAGAAAAAATTCTGATTATGATTCCCGTAAGAGGGAAGAGTATTCTTCCCTATGTTCGAGAATGACAAGTCAGAAAGAACACTCAAAGATAAAACTTTTGAAAAGGCTGGAGGGCAGCAGAGATATGTTTTTAGATTGCAAACACTGACATGGTCCCCAATCATTTTTTCTGATAATACCTTGGTGGGCTGGCTGTCCTATCTCAGGGATGTCAAACCCGATTGCATCGCAGGACATATTGGGACATTTTTGCCTTTGCAGAGCAGGGATGGGCATGGCTTATGCAGGCCGTATCCAGCCCACGGGTCACCAGTTTGAGAGGCCTGTCCTATCTCCACTGTAGAAAAGGAGCCTTCATTAAATTTGAATCTTCTGAGCCAGACCCTTTCTTCCCAGAGCTATCCCTGAGGTAGAATTCTTGCAGAGAGACCTAGACTTTATTGAGAACTTTTCTCCAGCCAAAAGATGCTAACTTACATCTTTAACTGAGATATAAGAACATGGGGGACTATATGACAGCTTTACAGGAAGATGTTAATATTGGGGGAAGCTGAGATAGCAGCATTTCTAATGGAGTGACCTTCAATCCCCTGTAGATCAATTTGTTTCAAAGGATAGCTTGGTACAAGTCTTGATCTGCCTGGATATCAGTGTGAGCTGCCAAAAGAAACTAGGAGACTGTCCAAGATTGTGAATTCCTCTGTTTAATTCCAGTAATTTATTGTTCAGGTTATATCAATCCTTTTCTAATACAGATTTGGGCCTGGGACAGAATGGATGGAGAATCACTTGGTGACTAGAACTCAAGAATTTCGGTCTTGTCTTAGCCATGACTGGCTGGGTGACTTTGAGGCAGTCACTCTCTTTCAGCCCAATCCACCTCACAGGGTTGTTGTTGCAGGGACATTCCTGAAATCCTAAAATGGTTTAGTTTGCAAATGAGTAGTCTTCCTCATCCTCTTACCATATCAAGGTCTTGAGATACCCTTCGTTTACGCAGTTCTTCCATCCTTTCACATACATCAGTAAAACAGGTATTATAGTAATCTGCATACTGTTGAGCCAGATCATCAATATTGCCCAGTGACCCATCCTGCAGAAAGATACAGAAGGGACAGAGTGTAAGGATTCAATAATTAAGACATCAAGACATTAATGTAATTACAGAACAGGGATAGCACTTCAATATCGATCTATAGTGCTCAAAAAGCAGTGAGGATACAAGAAATTCCTATTAACTTTAAAAAGATACGTTGTCAAGACATTATTAGATAATGAGGCTGTGCAATGCTTTAGATTAGTCTCCAAAAGCATTTTTTGAGCATAGAAACACAGCACCTTAAAGCGGATTGGTCTTCTCTCTCAGAACTGTTCAAGGAGCTCCTTAATACAATCAAGGAAGCTCTTGACAATTTGTAATCTTTTTTTCTTGCTCACTTGGGTTACACAATTCTAAACATTCCAAATAATGTCCATTTGAAATATCAGTAGAATTTCTTTTGGGGTTAATCTCATGTATACAAAGAGCCCAGATCTATCACACTTTGGTTTTTGATATACCAAATTTTATTTCTAATTAAATTAACGTGATTCAGCCAAGTGAAAAATCTAAATTGGAATAAAATGCAATATATTAAATAATGTAGTTTATAAGTGTACATAAGACTTAGTTTGTAGTTTGATGTAGGAACTGGACAACAGGATTCATGAATGAATATTTCTATCATTATTCATATTTTCATATTCTTAATTTGGAAATGGTTGCAAACAGACTCTGCCTTGCAATTCCACTGTTATTTCACAGGGAAAGACCTGTTCCAGAAAGAATAGGTTATATTTCATTTGATTCAAGTAAGTTATTGTCTAATAAAAGAAACTTTAACATTAAGTAATCAGCTCCTACACACTTTTTCACAGCATGTTTTTTTCTGGCTTCAGAGAGGAAATAAATCATAAAGAAATAAAATAACATTTTAATAGGGGGAGAATGGAACATTTATTAAAAGTAAACTATCTATAACATTTCAGGACAATACTTGTCCAATATTTTCTTATGAGATTGGCTTCTGCACTGGGATACTCCCTTTTTAAGTATATATATTTATTTCAGAATTTTTGCTGAAATAATTACACATGCTCTAAATGATAAATTGGTATGAAATTCCTGCAGAATTAGTCTGATAATGTGGAAATATCAGAAACATCCATCATGATTCATGTGAATGAAATGAATAACACAAGTTATAATAATCTAATTGTTACTGTGCAAGATTTATTGTTTATTGCACATTAGTATGATGAATATGCTGCATTATTTTTAACTGATATTAATAATAACATAGAGCAACTCTTCATTAAATGCTTTGAATTAAATAAATGATGTAAGCATTATAAAAAAGTATTCAGCTCAAAATATTGTTTAATATTTTTGTAGTTTTAAGTTCATTTACATAGCTTTTTTTTTTTTTTTTTTACTATGTCAGCATCCAAAGTCAGCTTGGCTTTTGAATCTGATAATATTTTATAAAAGTTTTGTCATTCTAGCAGGGAATAAATGAAGTTCAACAGAATGAGAGCAGCAAGCAATACATACACCAAAATAATACTGATATTGTAAGGTAGCTGGTAATTTATGTGGGAGAAAGGTATGGGCAAAGAAAGTACAATTAGAGGGTAGGCTTTATGAAATAAGAAAGCTTTTTTATAGAAGATCTAACAGGTCATTTATATTGTTAGATTTCCTCCTTGAAGTGTTCACTGAAATAAGTTAATCCAAAGATTAACTTTCCTGTTTTGTGAAGATAAATCTGCCTCCGTTATATGTTTTGGTAACAATCAGCCTGAAGTAACACTTATAGTTCTTGTTATTGTTTTGTTGAAATAAAGCAGCTTTTAGGAAACTGGTGTGTTTCAGATGTGTTGAGATTTTAGACACAGAATTTACATCCAGAATCGTAACAAGAATTCTTTCAACAGAGTTGGAAGACACCTGGCTGTGGAAGATTGAACTAAAATAAACAAGAGAAAAATAGTAACCTTCCATGGATATAAATATCTCTGTTGATATCCCCCACAAGTGCACCCAATAAAATAATTAAAAAAACCCTTAGGGATAAAACTTAACAATAGTTCATCTGATTCTAAAAAAACTTTCCAGAATTCAGAATTGGGGACAGAAAGGACTATAATAAGCTCACCAAGTCCAATCATATATGCAGAGTAGAAATCCAAATTAGACTATTTCTGACAAATATCTGTCTGACTTTTGTTTGAAAGCATTTAGTAAAGAGGAGTTTGCAACATTCCTTGCTAATTAATTTTATTGCCCAATGGCTCTTACTTTCTGGAAGTTTTTTTTTTTAAATTAAAATTAAAATTTCTGTAACTTAAACCTGCACACTATTGGATAATTTTTTACTTTTCTAATTGCTAACAGAATTCTCAATTTCCACCCAGAAGCCTACCTAGAAATAGTCACTCTACCATTGTAGGGAACTTTTATTTTATTAAACATATTTCTATCTTGCCACAATCAAAAAGATACTCAATGGCTTATAGAACTGGATATTTCCTTTTCTAATAGATGTCTCTAGAATTAACTTCACAACTTCTGAATGGTCATGACCTGACTTTGCAATCAGAATTCAGTTGTTCTAAATTTAACAACAATCTAATGAATAACATTGTAGGTAATTTAATTATAAGCATTTCCTCAGTAGTTCAATTGTTGCTTGGACTAAGGCAATAAAAACACTAACTTCCTAAATTTCAACAGGTAAAGAAAATAAAAATGTAGATTGAAAAATCTTATCCTTCAAAAGAGTACCCGGAAAATACAGACAGGTTGTGGACTATACGAAATATTTCACATATTTAGCTCTAGTTATTATTAGATAAACATAGAAAGACAGGCATTTCTATTGCTAATTGAGACACCGTGTGGAAGGCCATTGCAAGCATCAACAGTTTATCTACAGGACTTCAATGTAATTAGAAGAGGCAGCCATGAAGAACTATGCAGTAATGCACATGTACCATCTTTTATTTGGGTGCCATGGCTAGGACAAAGGACAGAGTTGTTTGCTTCAGCAAAATTATCCCACAAGCTTCATGTTACTGAAGAGCTGCAGAGATTAGTCCATCATCGGAAACACTTTTGCTTGATCAAGGTCCTAACAGAAACATAAAGTCCAACACAACTGATATACTTAAAGGCATATAATGGTCTACTTTTTCTCCAATTTGGCACTTACCGGTCATGCTGGGATTACTGCTACCAGGTTTTTCAGCCAACATTGCTGGCTGGCTAAAAATTCAAGCAGTTTTCATCTGGCATGGAAGATTGCCAGATGGTCAAAGGATGGAATTTCCTATTTAAAACATCTGCCTTTTTTTTTTAGTAATCGCATTTCACTTGTTTTTTTTTTCCTGAGAAATCAAGTTGACTTGGCAATGATTCCAGTAACCCTCCAACTTCCCATCATTTTTCAGAAGTAATCGAACGTTCAGAATATAAACCTTTCCCACCTCTCTCCCCAATCTCTTGCCCCTTAAAAGATTTTCTGCTCCAGAGTGCACACAGTAGACACAAGCAGGAATCCTGGTTGAGGATGGAGAATTCTGTCACTTTTGTCACTCTCTTTGATCACCCAAAAGAAGTACAGGTAGTCCTTGATTTATGGCCACAATTAAGTCCAAAATTTCAGTTGCTAAGTGAGACATTGGTTAAGCGAGCTTTGCTCCATTTTACAATCTTTCTTGTCACAGTTAAGTGAACCACTGCAGTTATTTATTTATTTATTTCATTAGTTTAACATTAAGTTTTCTTAAATTAGTTTGCCACCTATCTCACTGCAAGACAACCTCTTCACCCAAGCCTTTCCTGGTATAAATGCTGGAAAAACATTCCTCCTTCTTTTATAGTTTATTTAATATCATTTATATTGATTCAATGGCTGCTCCATGGCTGGTTGGCCTGCATTCTCAGGTAAAAAGCTGGACTTACTTTTGCTGTAGGATATGACCATGCACAAAGCTGCCAGCAGACTAGCAACCATTTCATTACAGCTGGAATTTTAGTTCATATTCATTCTGTGATATGTGACTTTGGTGAAACTTCCATATAACAATAACAAAAAAGTCATAAAATACAAATCCAATTACAGAAAGTGCAAGATGCTCATATGTTTACAGGATATCTCATTTTATGACTTCAATGTACCTCGTGATTTTTATTTTTCTAGTTTCAAGGTTCACTGGTTTTGCTAATAACCTGGCCTTCAACTACATGGAAAAATTGTCTCTATAATATTAAGCAAGACTGAGTATGGCTTTAGGTATACTGTGATTATTTTATTATTTTAACCATGTCTATAAGCTCTGAAGCACAATTTTCTTTTAATTCTTGGTTGTGTACCGCATCAAAGACTTTCAAATGTCACTTTCAAAGTCCTGGTCAGTAATGTCAGAAAAGCTATCTTAAAAAATAACAAACAAGTCCAAATGGTAGCAATTAGAGAAACATGAATGTTCTCATTACATAGCAAATGAATTGGCAGCTGCTTAGACAAAGGGACATTGTTGTTTCATACATTCTGCACAAACTACGCTACGGACATTTTTAAATAAGCCATATTTGAAAGAACTCTTATCAGACTAGGAATGGAAATAAATTACTCCTTTCTATTTTTTTCCCCCTTGAGCCCATTGAAACAACAATTTACTCATACTGTCAAGATTCGAACTAGTCAGATTCTATAGGCGTATATGTCTATTTATGGGAAATGGAGTTAAGTATGATACAAAAAATACCGATATATTAACATTTTCCAGACAGGAACACTTTAATATAATCAGTATTTTATTTATTTATTACATTTATATGCCCACTATCTCAAACACATGAATTATTGTACAAAATATTAGTTATGATTGGTAAATTAATAAATTAAAGATTTCTTCCGTACTAATTGCCACCTTCAGTTGGACTTCCAAGGGGTTTTGAAGATAATCATACATGTAAGATTTATGGGTGAACAAGGTTCAATAAGAACCCAATCTCAGGTCTGTGATTTTTGCAACAGCTTTATTACA